ATAATTAGCCTGGGTGTGCAAGCATGTGCCTGTAGTCCTAGCTACTTTGGGGAAGGCTGAGGTGGGGAAGATCGCTTGAGTTCCAGGGTTTGATGCTGCCAGCGAAGCTATGATGTGCCCAGCCGGCACTCCAGCCTGGCGACAACGCAAACCCCCCTGTCTCCAAAATAAAGAAAGAAAGAAAGAAAGAAAGAAAGAAAGAAAGAAAGAAAGAAAGAAAGAAAGAAAGAAAGAAAGAAATTACTACGTTCTAGAATGATGAATAGGTAGATCTCCATTCTCCCCTCCGCCTCGCCCCCCCGCCCGCCCCCATAATTTTACCAATCCTGGACAGCTTCCAAAGACAACACTTCAGAAGAAAGAGTGTCTTCTAAGGTACATTTTATTACTTCCTGTAGTCATCCACCTGATCACTGGGATGATTTCTGCTCTCCAAACATCTCCAGGGCAAGGAAAACAAAGCCACTAATTGTTACAGTTGACTGCATCCAGTTTCCAGTAAGGATGTCATCTCCATTGCTTTAAATGTCAGGGTCCTCTGACTTTGCCCATTCCTGCAGGAACAGCTTCCTTTGCTAGAGCCTGCTACGGGAGACTTATCTTGATATTTTCAAGACAGTACAAGCTTTAACTTGAGGTTTTTTCTTTTAATGTTACTTACCAGAGACAAGTTCCTTTTTATGCTGTTAAAGTAGTAATCATTTGTGGTTTTCTTTTTCTTTCTTTCTTTTTTTAAGCAACAAAACCTTTCTGCTTTCCCCAATTTTGCACACAACCAAAACTGCACTTGTCTTTACGTGATTTAGCCTTAAATTATGGAGTGGGAGTGGGGTGGACATCAGGACATTAATAGAGATATTTAGTTCCCACTAACATCGCCTCATCTCTGTGGGCATCTCACAACAATTTAAAAAGATTTAGTGTTCTATGTTTGAGTTGGGGGCACTGAGATTTGTCAGAAATCATAGAATCAGAACTAGACCCAAATTTTGTAATTCTGGAACCTAAATCTTGTGAGCACAGACCTCCTAACTTTTTGTTTTTGATTTTCAATTTTGGTTTTGTCTATAAGGAAAAGGGCAGGTGAGGGTGGGGAGGGGGCTGAAAAAAATGGTATTTGGGCAGACATTTGGCATTATACTTTTAATTCTCTTAAACCAGACCTCTTCTTCTCCTTACTATTATCACTTCGTTTCATGTTTTATTCCTGAAAGTGAACTTGTCAGCAGATCATTTTCCTTTACATCTTTCTGGAACTGTTCCAGATTCTTATGGCATTACAAAAAAAGTATCTGCCTAAAGGCGTTCTATAAAGCAGGCAGTCTTAGAGAAGGCGTGGGTATAAATTACATGAATGAGTTAATACAAAACTGCTAATAAAACCTGTAACATGGGAAAAGGCATAGGGTATAATTTGCTAGCAAAGTTATTTAGTTCCAGCTACAAAAGCTAAAGATACACACCCACACCCACCCACACACACACATATAAGTATATATGTATATGTTATTTCTTTAGACTACAAAAGTAAGAGAGACTTACCTAAAGAGGAAAAAATAATCTCAACGTTGAGAATTTATTTGTATAAGCTCACAAGGAAAAAATTTCTTTTTGACTTTCGAGTGTGTTTTTCTTGGAAGATGAAGTAAGATTAGTCTCCACTGGTCAAACTTTGTGGTTAGAGTTTATAAGATAAAATTCTTATAATGTATTAAATCTTTTTCATTTCAGAATGTGTTTTTTATGGTTGATTACTGTATTGTTTTACTGCTTTTGTAGTCAAGCTTTTCATTTCTACTTTTGTTAACTTTTCTCTCTGATGAGTAAAGAAAATTCCTCTAAAAATCCTTTTATGAGAAAGGAAGAAAGTCTATGAAATTAATTCGATTTCTTAGGTTCGCAGATGCAAAAAACGTTATATTCTTGGCTTCACATAAAAACCATATTAGATTAAATGATTTAAGAACATAATATGAAAATTTCAGAATAAATTTTGGTGAACAAAAAGAGTGGTGCAGAAAACGTAACACATTTGGAGAGAAAGGGAGAAGAAAATATATATATAAAAAGTTAGGCAAGCATTTTATTAAAGTGAAAGTTCTAAAATATCAGTACACAGAGTTTTCAGGGGGAGAAATTGGCTTTATCAGAAAGCTGAGCCCCGTTATTTTATTTATTTTTCCCACCATTCATGAATTGCCTCCTCGTGAAGCGAAGTGGCATTTTCCTGGGGCAGAAGAGTCCCATTATAAAATGCAGCAGAAAGAAAGGATGCTCTTCGGACTTATCTCCTGGCTTCTCTGCGGCCTGCGGGGACTGAGAGGGTGGGCGAGCTGCTGTCCGCTCTGTATCTGAATGAACTTTCCCAGGCGAAGGCGGGTGGCCCGCGCAGAGTAGAGTGCTGCTGAGACGGGTTTGGTGCACTTCGAGTGCTCTTGGTCTCAAGGCTTTATAGTGAAAATGCCCGCTCGCTAATGTGTCCCCAGGCGTTAGAAGTACAGTTTAGAGCCAGGAAATGTGGTCTCCCTGGCCGGGCTCCTGGCTACGCCCAGGCACCCCACCCCAACCGCCCCCCCCGCCAACCAGCACCTGCTTTTCCGCTCCCGCGCCCCGTGGGTCCCCGTGCTGAAGCTGGGGCGCGGGCTGGCAGCGGGGAGTGGGTGGCGCCGGGACCGTCGATTGCGGGCGTGTCCCGGGAACTGCAGCGCCCTCTCCACCTGGGCAGGGGCAGCTCCGCCACCCGCCCGGGCCTCGACGGGCTCGCCGCCAGGGCTGGGGAGGGGCGGCGCGGAGGGCGGGGGCCGGGCGCGGGGCAGGGCCCGGCTGTGCCTCTCCGGCCGTTCGGGCAACTCCCGGGCCGCGGCCAGCCGAGGAGCAGAGCGCTTGCCCGGCGGGTCTGCCGCGTCGCAGGCGCCGCCGGAACCCTGGCCATGAGGACCCTGTGGATGGCGCTGTGCGCGTTGGCGCGGCTGTGGCCCGGAGCCCAGGCCGGCTGCGCCGAGGCCGGGCGCTGCTGTCCCGGCCGGGACCCCGCCTGCTTCGCCCGCGGCTGGAGGCTGGACAGGGTCTACGGGACGTGTTTCTGCGACGAAGCCTGTCGCCTCACCGGGGACTGCTGCTTCGACTACGACAGGGCGTGCCCAGGTGGGTGGCCAGGCCGAGGGTGGGGCGCCGGTCGTTCGCCTGCAACCAGCGGGCACAGGGCAGGGCGCTGTGCCAAGGACCTCAGCCCCTGAGCCAGGTGTCCTCCAGCCCCTTCCCTCCTGGCGTGCCAGCCCCTCTATCCCCACCCATCCCCACCACTGCCATCCAGGTACGCCTGGCTCCATTCATCCTAGAGTCTCCCAGTCCCCTCCTAGACAGCGAAGTGTCCTCCCCACAACCCCCAGACAGAGCAAAGCCTGGATGGGAGGGCTGGATCCCGCTGTTCTCCTGGAGGGGAGCCGGGTGACCAAATCTCCGACTCAGGAACTCCATTTGGATAGGGCCACCTCTGGCCGGCACAGATGGCACTGACAGATAACGGGCATGTCCCTGGGCCAGGCTCCACCACCTTCATTCTGTTAACCCTCGGGGATCTTTGGGGCTGGTGAGGGGTGATGAGGGCAGGATTGTATAATCTTCCCACTTTGTGCCAAGGGCGTGCTCTGGGAAGGTACTAATACTTTCTTCTGAAGAGCAAGGTCTTAAAAAACTGAAGGTGTCCTCATCTCTGCACCCCAAAATGTAGCACAGGCTCTTTTTCCTAGGAGGTGTACAGTATGTTCTTGGAATTCAATTTTCTCTACACAGCATGACAAGGATTGTATCTCGAGGTCCCTATTATGTTGTTATCTTGCTGGTTTTCCTTTAGGGTCAGTCTTTTTCAACTTTAGATTTCCCACAGTATCTCACAGTTCCTTGCCCCTGTAAGGGCTCAATAAAAACTGGTTTAATTGACTTAAAAGATAAAGGAACGAATGATGAGTACAGCCCTGAGGAACAAGGTGTACCTGAGAGAAGCCAGCCATGGAAGTAGAAGTCGCTCTGCTCCTGTTAATCACATCATCCCCAAAGCCACACAGATGTTAGGGTTCGAGCTGAAGGATCCCGGCCTGTGGGATCCTCAGCATTTTCTGGGGCTATGCCATTCCCTGGGCAACCAGATACCCAGTGGTGGGGGGCACCCCTCCTGCCTCTGCGCTGTTTGAAGAGGGCTTCAGCCCGCCGCCAGGCCCGATGCTGAAAGAACACACTTGAAAGCATTAAGATTTTTTGACCCTGGTTGAAAGCTAATGATTTACCTGTGAATATTGATATTCTTTTTGATAAAGTTTTTTGATAAGCTTCTTTCCCTTTCTGGCTGCAAGGCCAGAGTATTTTACTACTAAAGTAAGATGGAAGAGTCAGCTATTTAGGAAATGCAGCGCCCTTGAGCCAGGTGTCTCCAGCCCCTCCTCACAGCATCCTAAGCTGTCGGCCTCATTTCCCTGTATAACTCAAGCAAAGCCTCTCTCATGAGGGGCTTGCCTATGTTTTAAAGGTAATGATGGAATTCCTGTGGCCCAGTTAGTGTCCCCTGATCTGTGGTAAGCACAGGGAGAGAGAAGTGATGAAGATGCAGTCTCTGCTCTCTAGGATTTTCTACTCTAGCCGGGAAACCTGTGCAAACCCCTGTTAGACACACTTAGCACTGAAATAGGTGATCCAGGAGCTGACCTGGAAGGGAGCACTTAAAAGACCCAGGGAATTCAAGGACGACTCCCCTGAGGAAGTAATGGGTGAGCCTGGACCTGCAGAATGAGGAAGAGGCCTGCCGGAGGAGGGAGAGGCAGGCTGTAGGAGGGAAGCCCAATGTCACAGTTCAGCAGTTACTGTGGACGTCACCTGCTTGTGCCAGGCCTTGTGCTAGGCCTTGAGGCCAAAATGGTGAACAGGACAGATGCTGGAGGCAGCCAGATCTGGAGAGATGCAGGCACATAAGAGGGATGAGGAGGAGACAAGGCGAATGTCTCGAGAAGAACTTGCTTTCTAGTGAGACCTAACAGTGCTCCCAGGAATTGCAAAACCCTCAGTCTTTATTTGGTCAAAAAGAAATTGCTTATTTTCGATCTAGGCGGTAGAATAGTGTGACAAAGAGCTTATGGTTTTGGAGTCGGGATTTAGTGGCTAAGTATGGAAGCGGTGAGACGGCCTGCTGTCTTTTGAAGCTCTCAGAAATCACTGTAAGTGTGCGCCCCGGAGAAGAGCTGTGAGTTGGGAAAAAGGAGATAGTGTCAGATTAAATTTTAAAAGGAGCATATTCTGAAGCCCGCAATACCCTGTGGCAGAGTCAATAGAGGACCTTGCAGGCCTAGAAGGAAGCAGGTGTGGGACTAAAAAGCTCTGTGTTGAGAAATTCTCTGTGTCTGAAGTTTCTTGCAAAGGGAGGAGGAAAATAAAGACAGTCGGAAGGTGGCCACTTGGTGGGACTGAGTCTGCCCCTCCGAGGGTAAGAGCAGAGGGCCGGAAGCTGAGAGGCCCAGCCTGCTTAGCCCTGGACCCACGCCACAACCATATGGACCATGGCTCCTGGCCTCCTGGGCCCAGAGCTGACCTGGCAGCTGGAAGCTGGTTTGGGGCAACTCCTGGAATGCAGCCTTTCCTCTCACAGAGTCTAAGTCTCAAATATTTGTTTTTTATTTGTGATTTTTTTTTTTTTTTTAAATCCCAGAAGTAACCTGAATGCCTCAATTTTGCCTCTAAAGTCAGAATCCCGGGTTCGACCTTTATCCTGGTGCCGTTTGGCTTTGTGACTTTGGAAAAGTCACCCTCGTGGGGCCTAAAGCACCTCATTAAAGGGGAATGAATGATACTGCCAGGCAGCAGTGACTCATGCCTATAATCCCAGCACAGTGGGAGGCCAAGGCAGACGGATTGTCTGAGCTCAGGAGTTTGAGACCAGCCTAGCCAACATGGCGAAATGCTTTTTCTTCTAAAAAGACAAAAATTAGCTGGGTGTGGTAGCGCACCTGTAGTCTGAACTACCCAGAAGGCTGAGGTGCGAGGATCACCTGAGCCCAGGAGGTAGAGACTGCAGTGAGTTGCGATCACGCCACTGCTCTCCAGCCTGGGCCACAGAGTAAAACTCTGTCTCAAAAAAAGGTGAGGGCAGGGGAGATGAAACCACTGTGTGGGACTGTGGAGTTGACAGAAGGAGGCTACACTGCACCTGGCTTGTGGTAGACATTTAGGTAGCAAATGTACTGTCGGTTGGCTCTTAGCACTAGTGGACAGCAGAGAATATTTTATTTGATTAAATATTTACATCATAATTTTCTGACAACATATTGCTATAATTTATATTTGTTAATATTAAATCATAAACACATTATATTCAACTCACACCATGTGCCAGATACTTAATACTTTGTCTCAATCCTCCCAACAATTTTTTTTTTTTTTTTTTGAGAAGGAGTTTCATTTACTGTATCACCCAGGCTGGAGTACAGTGGCGTGATCTTGGCTCATTGTAACCCCCGCCTTCCAGGTTCAAGCGATTCTCTTGCCTCAGCTTCTTGAGTAGCTGGAATTACAGGCGCCCGCCACCATGCCCGGCTAATTTTTTTGTAATTTTAGTAGAAACAAGGTTTCACCATGTTGGCCAGGCTGGTTTCAATCTCCTGACCTCAAGTGATCCACCTGCCTTGGCCTCCCAAAGTGCTGGGATTACAGGTGTGAGCTACCACGCCCAGGCATCCCAACAATTCTTAAGAACAGCAGGTCAGGTCCACAAACCCATATGACAATTCCAATCTAAAAAGTGCTAACATTTTAAAGTTTTTTCATAACTCATTTGGTGGCAAAAATCTCACCTGACTTGCACTGATAGAAGGATATTGATAATCTTTGTTTATATTTTGCGTCAAAAATATTAATATATTTTTCAAGGAACTGCTCCAGACCCTGCTAAGGAGAGGCGAACACTCCAAATAAGGTACATAGACTGTATTCCCTTTCTAAGATCCGGGAAGTCCTGAGTTCTGAGACTCAACTGCCTCAAGCATTTGGGAAAAGAACCTGGTGACCTATACTAGTATTTTTATAGACAGAACAGTTAAGGCTTTCCAAGGCTTTCCATTACTCAAGTTAACACCAATGAGCAGAGCTGAGATCTGAAGTGCCTGATTTCAGACTGCCAATTGCCACATATATTTGTGCCAATTTATGGCTATTATTTATTCCTGGATAAATCAGGTTTCAGCATCTCAGAACCCTTAGTTACTCTATGCCCATAGAACCATTCTGCCTCTTAGAATCTCTTCTTCTCTCTCTCTCTTTTTTTCTTTTTGAGACGGGATCTGATTCTGTCACCTAGGCTGGAGTGCAGTGGTGTGATCTCAGCTCATTGCAACCTCCACACCTCTGCTTCACAGGCTCAAGTCCATCTTCCCACCTCAGCTCCCTGAGTAGCTGGGACTACAGACGTGTGTGCTGCCAAGCCTGGCTATTTTTTGTGGAGATGAAGTTTCACCATGTTGCCCAAGCTGATCTCCAATTCCTAGGCTCAAGCAATCTGCCTGCCTTGGCCTCCCAGCATGCTGGGATTACAGGTGTGAGCCATGGCGCCTGGCCCTCTTTTCCTGCTTACCCATTATATTACCTATTGTTGCTACCTAAAGCCTTTTTTGACTGATATTACATTCAACGTGAATGGAAAATGTAACTGAGTCAGTATAACTAAGCATGCTTTACTTCTATTCCTTCTGATTTTTTCATCTTGATAAATGCAGTATTATTATTGTTATTATGTGGCTAAGAGATTAAATACTGGCATGTCTTTTTCTAAGTAAGAAGACTTTTTTTCTCATGTAAAAACTAAAATGTTGTTGAATCTATACAGTTACTAAACTGTCAAATACATCTGTTCGGGAATGATCTCAGGAAATCTCATTACGACAATGGCATGAGTTTCAACACCAAGGGAGCATCACGGCTCCCTTCCCACTTCCACTAAAAAAGGGATGGAAAATTCTCCACTGGCTGTGCCTTACCAGGGATGGGGAAAAGTAGAGTAGGGGAACAGATCCAAGTTACCCTGCCCTGGAAGAACTTCTTGGAAGACTTGCTAATGAAGTGGGTAACACCCCCAATCTCTAATTCTCCAACTGGGTTCCTAGAGTTTG